AAAAGCCACTATTTCTAGGGGAGAAACCCCCCCCCCCACATATTTCAGTTCAGCTACTTTTGTTTTTAAGGTGCCATATCTTTAGAAATCTCTTTGTCAAGCATGTGTGTAATGTATCATAGTCCCTAGAAATTAATTACCAAGAAGTAGGTACACAAGAGATGCCAGTGGTAGCAAGGATCAGGTGAAAGGCACATCTATAATTCATAGCAATAAGAAATTCCTTTTTGGTAATGTTGAATCTTTCTTATTAGAGACTAACCTGCATGATTCTACATCATCAGACCAGTCATCACATGAAACAGGAGGTTTCTGAACAGCATCAGTCACACTGGGCCCTGGCACAACAGGTACTTCATTATTGGGAACTCCCAGAGCATGATTGCCAGAGCCTCCCTCTGTAAAGCCTTCCTTGAGATCTTTGTTTGGTCTAAGATAAGATGAAGTCTGCAGATCTCTGTGGTAGCTTTTCCCTTTGTTTTTTCCATATTTTCTTGAGGAACTCCTTGCCTCCTGAGAGGACACTGAAGACTGCAAAAAGCAAGATTCTTTACACCTTGACACCTTTCTTCTCCGGTGATTTAAAGTCTGGTTATCAGAATCAGACACCTCTTGTTTCTTTTTCCCTGTTGTCCCAAGAGTGACAAGTCCAAAGGCTTTACTGTTTGGGGACCCGTCCTGGTTACTGCAAGATCTACTGCTCCTTCTCTCTCTCCTGGGCATTTTGACCTTCTCTCTGGATCTCCTTTTAGCCTGTGCCCACTGACTATCATCTGAAGATGATGAATCAGATGTCTCCTTGTGAAGTGCATTCCACCTGGAGTTTGCAACCTTACTGTGCAATTTACAGTCTTTGCCCTTTCCTTGCTTTTCTGCATGCTCACCAGTGTCACCAGTCTCTTTTCTCCGCCTAAACCTTCGTTTCACTTGTTTCTTACCAGACTCCCTACTAGAAGGGGTCAACACCATGACAGAGGCTGCATGTTCAAATTTATCTTCTGATGCATCATGCAAGGTGGCAGATCTGGACAAAAGCAGTAGGCACAGAAGAGGGATGGAAAACAGCAAAGAGAAAGAGAGAAAGCAAAAAAAGAAATGAGACATGAAAATGGAAACATGGATTTTGATTTAAAAGAAAAATAAGACTATAAAAGGAAAAACAAAAAGAATACAACATCAAAAGAAAATCAAGACTGTGTAATGCATGAATTATGTTAGGCAGAAGCAAAAGCTACACATTATTAGATAAAGACAATGAACAGTGAATGACCAGCAGATCAGAATGACTTGTTCAACACTTACCGACAGATGTCCTGCGTGGAAGGACAGACAGACAGCCGGGACTGGCTCCTGGGAGCTGTTCCTGTTGTGGGACTGCTTGCCTGTTGAAAAAAGTTTGATAATTTGGAATCTTTGTCCATGAAATACATTGCAGATATTTTATTGTTTTGCCACATGATTATAAAGTTTAAGCAATGGTTGCTGCTGGTCATGGTGAACTTATGCACATATGCAAGTTTAAAAAAATACAGGAAGCCTGAACAAAAGCAAAACCTATTTGAGGAACTAAATGAGAGCGAAGGGTTTCAGCTTTCATTCAACAACACATATCTTTTCTGTTTGAGGAAGAGTCTTTCAGTGGTTGAGATTTCATTTTGGTTATGATCTACTGTCCATATTTGCTGGGAAGGCATATGATGTTGACTTCTATTTCAAGCAGAAAAACAAGTATGATGATCCTTGTCAAAATTAAGTGAAACATATTTACATTATGCTGAATGATGCTGGGCACAGAGGCTCAGCTAGCAAATCTGTGAAGAGTAGAGTGGCAGAACATCAGGAATATTAAACCTTTTAAAAAAAGATTTCCAAGGCAATCAGAGCATCTGCAGGAGTTAAATGAATGTGAAATCAATGAACCTCAGAAGGTCCAAAGTGCAGGCTGTAATTCTATAGAACCTACTGCATTCGCAAAGTGAGAGAGAGAAAGAGACGTTAGATGCATTTAGTGTCTTCAATTTCCCTCATAAGGTTGTCACTGCAATTTGCAAACTATATTGCTGAGTGCATCCAGTGAGAAACACTTTTTGATGGTGTTGATAAGAAACTATTTCAGTCGCCCTGCTAATTTATTGGCAAGCTAGCTGTAGAAGATCCAAATTTAGGCCCCAAGTGTCCTGGTTTGCCAGAAGCCTGACAGAGGATTGCTTGGGGGCTATAACAGGAATAATAAAAACCTTTTTGCAGGGTCTAGCCCTCCCCCTGGATGATAAACGGTGCTATGGTTTGGTATGTAGTCCTGTAATGAGGTAGTGAGCACCATCAATTCAGTGGGAGACAAAACAGTGTGAACTTTAAGCACTGGGGGAAAAATATGTCCAAGGCAAACAAAGTGCATTCAGAAGAATAAACATTAAATAAGAGTTGTGGATCAGATCCCATATATTTTCACCAAGTTACAGGACTGGAAACAAACAAACAAAATTATTGTACAAATCATTCAATCAAAACAACTCCTGGCTTACTTTGCACAGGTCAGGAAATACCCATTTTTATTTCAATCAGGTGTCAATTTTGTACTTATGAAAAAGGAAAAAAAATTAGTGCAAGCTAACAGTTTTAGATAAGTATACTGAGTGCTTCCTGACTCATAAATCAGACACATCATAAGGACCTTATAAAATTCATGGGGTAAAAGTCCACTATTGGTTGGCCAAAGCGCAGCTTGCAACCGACTTTGAATTACCAAGCTAAAGTGAAGGAGCAATTGTTAGCCCTGTGACTATGTAAGTGCTCATTATAAGAAAAGATAGGTATCTGTACACCTCTAGGCAAGGGACATACGTTACACATAAAGCGTATAAGTGAGTGGAAACTGGTTCAAATCTGTAACACAACAGGACTAGGGACAGAAGTTACATATAAACTGGTTTAAGTGATCAGAAACTGGTTTAAACCTGTAACAGACTAGAAGTTCAGTGCACATAAACCAGTTTCAAAATGGCCAAAACTGGTTTAAGAAAAAGCTGGTTGAATATAGTATCAGACTTAACTGATTTGGGTCAAACTGCTTTATGAAACTTCTGTTCCAGATCATTTCCTGCTTCAAGTTAAATCAAAGTTCCTCACCATCCCAGGATACTTTGCAGCCTTGAGCTGGGCTGTGTTGTCTGCTCCGAAGACCAGGGTTGAACCCACGCCTCCACTCCCTTGCCAGAGCAGTGTAGGCTGGCTGACAATGGGGTGGGGGTGGGAAACCCAGCAGGGGACCACAGCTGGGTCTGCTGAGGGGGAGGGGGACAGCCCCTGCCAGTCTTTTCCCTGCTGGAGCAACGGGGAAAGGAAAGGGGAAGTGGGTTGGCAGGCTCAGGTGGAGGGGAGGGAGGGGGTTTAAATCCTCTCTCCCACCTGCAAGGGCCCCTAGCCAGGGTCTGCTTGGCAGAGGATCAGCAGCCCCCGGCAGGCTATTCCCCACTTGCAGCTGGAGCAGAGGGGGCAGGAGTGTGGGATGGTACACTGGGGGGACCCCAGCACCGCAGGATGCTTTGCACCTCCCCTGCAACTCCCCCTTGCAGGGTAGGCAGGATAACCTTGGCCCATGCTGTCTGCTCCAGCCAAGCAGGGAGGCATACTCTAGCACCCCCTGGCTTCTAGTCTGGGCCACTGCAGGCATGTGGCTGCATTTCCAGAATCAAAAGTGAATGTCTGCTTATCAGTTCAGGCTATGCAGCTTCTCCTAACCTGCAAAGACTGAACTGATTCAGCCTTGGGCTTTTTAACTGTTTGTACTTAGCCCTAGAGGGCAATTCTTTTTCTATAATGGGGGCACTTCTGTCTGCAGAAGAAGTAACAGAATCATACCTATACTGTGACTGGGCCTTCTTTTGAACAGGGACCACCAACCATGATATATTTTATTGAGGGCTCAGATGAGACTGGGAACCAAGAAACGTAACTGCTTCCCTGGATTAGATTCTTGCCTTGTAATTTTACTAACAATTCCAAACATGAAAAATAAAACTTTTTATGAATGAAAAAGTCCAATTGATAAGGGCGTGTATGGGCTCTGTCTTTATTTTTCAGGTGTTTTTCAAAGGCTGGGTTACTTCTGCCTATTGCAAAAATGAGATGCAATGTGTCATTGGGCAGAGGAAGTACACTAAAGTGTTTGCCACTGAATGTAAAAAAAATACGTATCAATGGGAAAACATTTTATGTTACTTATCTTCTTTCCTACATAAGTGAACACTTCAATTAAACAGTTTTTAAGGAGAAAATAAAATAACAATAAAGTCTGGGGAAAGAAATGTTAGAAACAGCTGGTGGGCGTATTCTCAGGGTTGTATTCTTTCTCTTCTCAACATCTGTGATCAGTCTCAAATAATAATAACTTTTGTCTTGTACAGATTGCATGAGTACTTATTACGCTGCTGTCAATGTTAAGGGAAAATGCAGAAGGCAGTGCCTGATTGAAGTTGCTGGACTGTGCAGTACCAGATGCTCAGGGGCAAGAGGAACATCCATTCAGGCCACAGAGCAGCTGAGGAACTGTTACCTGGAGACCACTCTAGACCATGCTAAAGCAGGCAGCATAAGTCCTTGGACAGTCACCCTGCAGGGAGGAGAAAAAAAAAAGCCTGACATAGAAGTGGATCCTCTATGCTTCAGAAAATGGGGCCTGCTCATAAATTTTTCCTATCATGTTAAACTCTGGATCCTTGCCTGGATTCAAAATTCAAACTGTATTCAATACCCTCACTGCAACTGAATGGCATTAGTTCTTGTAGCACCAGAGGGTCTAGACTTGATCCTAAAAGTGCATGGAATGAGAACAAGTCTGAATGTACAATAAATAATTGTTGCTAAACCCACAAGAGAAAATTATTGTAATTAATAAACTGTTAAATTTCTTTATAAAGAACATTTTCTGCAGCTTTTTCTTCAAAAAGAAAGATTTTGCAACTGATTTTTGGGGGGATAGGTCTTCATTGGAGATGGATTATCTGTATAATTTGTGGACAATTTTTATATTTGCTTTTTCCAGCTGCATGAAGGCCAGTTATCTGTTTAGCTGTAAAGAGCCATGACCTGTGGGGAGACTGCGTAAATAGGACTACTAGATTTAGCACACAGCATCACATCACTGATCTGCTAATCCAACACCCTAATATATTCATGACTAAATTTAGAGTGCAAGACACCCTGGTGCAGAGGATTTAAGTGGGACTTAAAAAGATGCATAGGCTTTGTGTTGTTGCTCTACCCAGGAAGACTGACTGACAGTGAATTTAACACTCTTCATCAGTAGTTCATAGATAGATTGCATTATATTGCTTTGTCAATTTTAGCTACAAGTTTGGGCTTTTTTCTTTTTCTTTTTTTGGGAAACAAATTTCAACTTGTGGATCACTCTAACTGTTCTTTGCAACAAATTCTTCAAGATTTGCTGTTCAAGTTGTATGCCCTACTGCCTGCAACATGTATGAATGATTTTTGTCAGTGATTGACTTAACTACTACAGATATATTCTGCTTTTGATCAACACAGACTTCATTTAAACATAAAGCAAAGTGTACTTTTTGTTCAAGTGAATTTCAGCTGCAAGTCACTGTTAGTAAAACAGTAAATAGAAATTGGTAGAAACACATTTGTATAAATCTATTTAAAAATGAACAAAATGTTTTTCAAGAATGGTCTTTATCCTAGATGAGTTTGAATTATATTAAGAATAGCTTCATATATTGGAGAGGAAGGATAGTTCAAGTCACTGCTTTAACTACAGGTTTCCTGTGTGACATTTACCAATGATTTAGGTTGAGAACCTCAACATTATTTGAGCCTGATAATTTGGGTGGATTTTCCTAATACAATCTCAGTCAAGGTAATGACTGTTCAAGGGAAAATATACACAACAAATATCTTGCTAATACACAACTGTAGCATACAGAATCATATTGCTGTAATTTGGTATTTTGCACACTATGATTATTTTGAAGCTATTGTATTTATTGAATGGGGATAAGATTGATATTGGGGGCTCCAATTCATTTGGCATGTAGAATAATGGATTCTTTGAAAATGCATATTCCTTTAATAGTTTCTTATTTTTGACAGCTTCATTGTATATTGCATTCAAATGGGAAAACTAAACCAGAGGCCATCTGTACTAATTTTATCATAGCAAATTATATCAGTAGCATAATTAAAGGTGGTAATTCAAAATTAGGTTGTCTGACAACCCATTTATAAGCAAGGCAGCTCATTTCTTCATGACATCAAGGCTAGGAATGTGCTTAAGGGACGGTGCCAACTCCTGTTGATTAGGTTTGGCATTTTAAAAATTTCTGTTAGAATAGATTCCCTAGTCACCACCTTCTTGTGTCTGAACCAGTTTAGATGAACTCTTCTTCAAGAGTATGCAATTTAATTAACAGGGATGACAGGGCATTTTATTCATAATTATTTTCAATCTGCCAATCTTGTTCAACAAGCACTGATAATCAACTTGACAAAGAGAATCCTTGTAAATACCACACGTGCAAGATGACAGAGAAACCGAACAGACCATCAAGTCTAATATGGAGTATATTTATTTTTTCTTTGTTGTTACTATCCCCTACTAAAGGCAAAAAAAAACCCAGGTAAAAAAACAAAAAATAAAAACAAAAACAAAACAGAACCAAACAGACAATCAACCACTCATGACATTACAGACGATCGTGGAATTAATGCACAGCCTCCTCACTATAAACCCTACAAATTTCCAAATCACTATTAACATGTTTCTGGATCTTTGATTTGTAATTGTCTTGGAAAGCTTTCCATCCAGAAGCTAATCAGAAGATACGAGCTTTTGTGCTGGAAAATTATTGTTTAATGTTGCATATTCAAGTTTTTCAGAATTTAACAGGCAAAGAGCAGACTGATGGAAGTGTTTGATATAAATATGTTTCACACATGTAAAACATTGTGTTTTAATGGGCTCACACTTTATAAAAGAAGATATCAGTGGAGATATCAATGGAGAATTCATGCAGAATGATTTCATGCAAAGGGTAAATGTATGGCAGAAACTATCTAGAAAGGTGCTTAAGTCCATCCATAATTCTCTCGTGAGTGAGGCCATCTGTATTTTCAAGAAACCCTTGGCTCAGGATGGTATTTGCACCAATGGTGAACAGGAAGATACTAAGATACTAACAAGGGCAAGTAGGTTGTAGTAGAAATCTTGTTCCATGTCTAAAATGACTAATGCTCTTGTTCACGTACAAAGTGTACTTTCTAGCAGTGATTCATCATAGAGTCTTCCAGATCCAAAGACTCATATATTCAAATTGCTGAAGCATCCTGTCCTATTAATATAACAATACTTTGGAGAGCAGAAGCCTGAGAGGATGAGCAATGGTTTATATAGCTTTATATATTTTGGCTCAAGTAATATTAAGATCAGTCACAAAGTGGTCTGCGATTGTTTATTAATGATTTTTTTAATCCAAAAAAATACTGGTTTGTCAAGCTGAAGCTTTCATGGAAATGTATTGATTTCAGTGGTTTTTTTCTTTGGAAAGGTTTGTCAGATCTTAAATGATCAAAACCACTATTTTCAAAACCACTTGCTTTCCAATCAGATCTCATCAGGAGCTACCGAAAGTTATTACTATATAATAGCTGTTCAGCAAAGTTTCAGTGAGTTGACAGTCCCAGCTCAGATATTATTGGACACATTTCTACATCACTTGATTCATCATGGTGTTGTTGCAGACTTAGAATATTCTTTGTGTAGTACCAATGCAAAAGAAAATATACTTCTGTCCTGAAGGGTGTAAAGGTTACATTCAACGTGATAGTAATGTCCCCGTTTTTGTACACACATAAAAAATGCCTGGCTCTGAGTCTGAATAGATATCATCTGGGTGCTTCTAGTTTCTTTTCTTTGAAAAGTACATACATTACATAAAGTAACTACATATATCATTATTCCTTGGTTGGAAAAAGATTTTTCTCCCCTGCTACCAGAAAAAATGTAAAAAAAATTTAAATTAGAATGAAGACCTGAATTTGAGTTGCAGAGGCTCTGAGCTCTGCATGGAAGTCAATGAAAGCTGCAGATACTTCAGACCTCTGAAAGTCAAAGCCTTCCTTGGACAATGTTTAGGAATCCTTGGGTCAGTGGTTGCCTGTGAATGCAGGGGCCTGGGAAGCTCCTTCCAGTTCTGTTTTCTTGTGCCTGTGTGGCATAAGCCAGCACTGTGCTAAGACACCTGATCTAGCTTTACACATATGAGCTCTGAAACCAGAAACAGACATGTGGGTGTGTGATTGCACCCAGGATAATAAGCTGACAGAGTTGCCTGTCTGCTCAAAGGGCTGTGCTAACACTATGCTAGCTCACAGTATCACTGCTTACCACTGCCTTGCACCATATAGGGTAGTTATTTTTTCACTCAAATGAGTAAATCAAGTTTATTTTGCAATGAAGTGGCATTAAAAAACAAATTTTAAGTGGTAAGATTATCTATCCGTTAAAGATACCAACAAATAAATACAATTTTTAATTCTAAGTGTTTACTGGATTGCTTTCCTTCTCTATTACTATGATAAGTTAACCTTTTTTGAGGAAAGGGTCTATTTACTCAGGGGTCCAAGTCAAAATTCTGTCCTTGTTAAAAAATCAAGAAAATTGCTAGCTAAGCTTTGAATTATCAGAAGTTCTATAGTTTTCATCATCTCTGTGTTGCAGCAATGCAATTACTTTGATTTGTGATTCTCTCTTACCTCTTTAGGACATATATTCCTCGGCATTATCATTTTCTTAATAAAAATGTAGCCCAGCTCACTGAAAAACGAACTCATTTTCCCGAGTCAGCAACTAAAGGCACTGGAACTGAGCAAAACCAAAAGTGAGCACAAATTCAAAAATTCCTAACATGCCAAGTTTTAACCATAATTCCATCTTCCATCTTCAGCAACTTTTTTGTTTAAGCACCTTCTTAACTTTAGCTGTGTAATTAATTCAGCTGGGACAAGGTGTTTTATTCCAGAAGTCTCACAAACGGCTGAAAGTTTGATTAAGAAGCAAAGACAATTGTCAGCTTTGGGGATGGTTAATGTTATTATTATTAACCTTTCTATTACACTAACCCCCACGAGGCCCAGCTGAATTGGGACTCCATTTTGATGGGCTGTACCCAAACATATAGTAAGACACACACGTGAAGGGTTTATGACCTAAGTTTATTTTCTGTTCATTCCTGTATATACAGTATTTGTGTCTCCTACCCTACAGCTTCGGAGCTAAGCAAACTTTATTCTGCAAAAATAGCCCTAAATATTCCAAATGACTGACCTTTTAGATTTGGGACAGCATGGGCTAGAACATGGTCACTGAGTTCACTTTATTGTCATCCTCAAGGGGCTTTTCATAGACTTCTATACACAGTTCTATTTGACTGAGTTGTTAAATAACATGGCACTAAACTATCTCAGCTTCTTAAACCATTTATTTCTTAAACAATGCCAGTGATGTAACTAGGGTAGGGTAGTTGCCCCAAGCACCAACTTGGTGGAGGCGGGGAAACAGCTACCACTACAGCTATGCAATCATGCTGGCAGCATGTGGAAGTGGCCACTGTCCCTGTGTGTGGCAGCTTCCCTGGGCACCTGCCCATGTCATTATGCCTCTGATCAACATAATGCTAGCCACAATTTTGGATCTTGTAGGTTGGTCCATAAGTATGGAAAAACTCATACCTCTGCTCCTGAAGAACAGCTTGTAGATCTCAGCCATAGGGGCAACAGAAACATGTAAATCCAAATCCAAATAAAATTTTCCTGAGCTCAAATTAGGAACAAAGTGCACCTATACACATGT